CCAATTAAATTAATTCATTTTTGGTAATTACTTAGGGGTCTAAACTGAACTTGGTCAGTTTACGCTTTTGAAAATTAAGTTAGGGTTTTAGAGAAGAGGAAAGAAGAGGAGAAAAGAGGAGAAGAAGCAAGAATCGTCAAATTCTAGAAGCTAAGATTGTGGATTTGGTCAAGGGGCGATCCCTACGAGGTATGTGAGACTTTCATAGCGTTGGGTTTGTTCACCCACGAGCCAATCATGTTTAGTTCAGCGAAATTCCTTCTAAAAAGGTTGAAAGTTTGATGCTCTTGATATGTATTCTTGAATTTGCCTTCGTTCTTGAATTGAGCTGAGACTGAGGAGCCTTAGAGATTAAAATGTTGATTTTAAGAGTTGTTTATGAATAGATCCTTAGGTACATATGCTGGGTATGTGAATCTAAAGAGAATTTGAGAGGAATAGTCGAGTTTAGGAGATTTGGGGTTAGAAAATGAAAAAGGAACAAGTCAGGAAAATCTGGGTACCAGGTACCAGGTCCGCGTCGCGGACCTAGTCCTCAGAATTGACAATTTTTCTTCTCGCGTCGTGGAGAGGTCACGGACCATTCTGCCTCAAATTTTATTTTCGTGATCAAATATTTAAATACATCTCCGCGTCGCGGACTAGCTTCTAGACAGTGATTTCTTGATCTTTTCTCATGTTTAACTACCTAAAAATACTCTTAAACATCATGAGATCATTCCTATCACAAATCACAATCCTTGAATCCATAATTCAATTCAAGGAAAGTTAAGAGTCAAGTCAAGAGAAGTTCATAAAGTTTTCCAAAAGTCTTTTACAAACAATTTACTTTGTTTTAAGACTTACGCTTTGAGTTGAGTAAAGATTAAGAGCAAAGTTCATTTCTTCAAAGATTATACGGGATCTAAGTATTCCCAAGAGTTAAAAGAATGTTTTTACATTTGAGCAAGAAAGGGAACATCGATTCCAAGAGAGCTTTTAAGCTAAGTTTTGAGTAATTATCTCAAACCAGTGCATTGACTATAGGCAGTTGAACAAAGTCACAATCAAGAATAAGTATCCCATCCACAGGATTGATGCTTTTTAGCATAGACTAGTGGATCCACTTAGTTAAGGCGTTCTATATGACAACAAAGTATAGGAAAGTTCTGCCAGCGTGGGCAAGACGGTGTATTACCAATTATGCTCATAGTGGTGGTTATCGGTTAGAGAAACTCCCACAGTATTACATTACTTTATTATATGAGTAAGTTGAGTTATTATTGCATTTTCTTAAACAAACTGAGTTGCTTTCTACTATTTTTAAAAGCTTTTGATATATTGCATGTGTATTATTGCTTTATATTGAGTTAAGTTATTCATTAATTGAGTAATGCCAAGGTAAGTGTTCCTTTCATATTCTTTTCAACCTTACGTTATGTTTTAGTATTCCCCTCGCATACTCGTACATTCAATGTACTGATGCCATTTGGACTGCATCGTTTTATGATGCAGACACAGGAAACCAGGGTCAGCATCCAGCGCATCGTTGATCCAATTGAGCTTCAGAGTTGTTGGTGAGCCTCCTTGCTTCCGGAGGATCCCCATTTTCATTACTTTATCATTTTAATTCATTAGGATGTCGTGAGTCTTGTCCCGACATCCATCTCGGCTATTAGAGGCTTCATAGACGTCCATCTCGGCGCATCGTTGATGTTAGTTCTTGAGTCTTCCCATTTCCTGTTTTAATGATTGAGACTTGAGTGCCATTTTGGCTAGTGAATGTTCTTTATACATTCTAAGTTATTTATTGAGCAGTTCAGTTTACTTTTTAAAGTATTTTATCATGAGTAAGTCTTCCACTAAGAGTTAAACCAGGCCAAGGGTTCGCTTGGGGCAAGCAATGGTTCTCTAGTGCTAGTCCCTCCCAGGGTGTAGGCTCAGGGCGTGATAGTCACATGCTTCACTCCTTTGGGATCTATTTGGGTTTGGGTCACTTTCCGATATCCAGCTCTATCATATTGAACTAGATATATCCCCATTTTGTTCATCATTTCCTGTTCACAATTTCAAGAAACAAATGAAAATATTCTTAAAATTCATTATAATAAAAGGAGGGAACACAAATTCTGCAAGTGATAATCTAAATTGATCGTCGCCTCCTCATCCCAAAGCCCATCGCACACCCAAATTCAGAATTTAAGCTCAACGGATTAATCTTTAACATTTTTTAGCATTAAACTCATTTATTTTTAAAGTTATAAGTTCATATTAACTGTCTGTTGTAAATTTAGTGAATTCTTACACATAATTTATGCACCACTTCAAAATTATTGAGTTCACACAAATTTATACTCTACATCGAAGAATTCAGATGAACTCGGTGCTATAAGGATGGATCCAACTCTACTCTCCACCCCGTCTCATAATATTTACTTAAACTATACATAAACTTATCAAACATAAAAAAAAAAAATTAAAAATCATTTATTTTTCAAGAAAATATTTTCTTACATACCGAACACACACCCATATAGTAAATTATGGAGGAGGATATACCAACCTGGGGTGCAAGAAATTCCCTTTTTTTGGAGCTATCAAAGCCATGAACAAATATTATTCTATAATTGGATTTTTCCTTAGCAACACCTCTCTCTTTGTAAGCTAAGTTTCTTCCATCACTTAATCTCAATTTTTTTTAACACATTTTGATAGAAAATTTTTTGAAAAAGAAAAAAGAGGATGTTAAATTTAGTTGTGTATATGTTCTTCTATCTTGGAAGCTTTATATATATAAATACTCACATTTTTATAGGGAAAAAAAACAAAACAAAATATAATAAAATACTTTTTGGTCAACCACTTATGTGAGATTTAATTATCGTGCAACTCAATCAAAATCAAAATTTCAAAATATTATGTACACCATTTTCTTGGCTGGCATCAAAATTAATTTTCTTATAAAACATACTAAATATATGGGTATAGCCATACTAGAACGGCTCTAGTGGCCCTTACCTCGTTATATAGCATAAAAGAAAGGAGGAACTATCAAAAATAATTATATTTTGGTCTTAGTTAGAGATCTATAATTATAGCCCATACTAGAACGGCTCTAGTGGCCCTTACCTCGTTATATAGCATAAAAGAAAGGAGGAACTATCAAAAATAATTATATTTTGGTCTTAGTTAGAGATCTATAATTATAGCCCATACTAGAACGGCTCTAGTGGCCCTTACCTCGTTATATAGCATAAAAGAAAGGAGGAACTATCAAAAATAATTATAGTTTGGTCTTAGTTAGAGATCTATAATTATAGTTTGATTAATTACAATTTGTAGCTACATATTAGAAGAAGAAGCGATATCTAGGAGAGATTGGCAAGAGGCGAGAGAAATACAATTATTTTGTATATCCAATCAATATTTATATCGATAAATACAATTGTATAAAAATGTAACTACAGGTTCAAAGGAGGAAGGAGACGAGAGAAATTGGGAGAGGGAGGAGAGAAGCGAGATATATATAATTGATTTATATAGCCGATCGATAATCGTATCACGAATACACTTGATACAATTGATTTGTGTCAATGAATACAATTGTATCTGTTATATTTGTTGATACAAATCATTTGTAGGAATGATTAATTGATTATTTTTTTAGGAAATTATTCCTTTTGCACCTGTTAGTGATTATAAATTTTAGAGGCTTCGCCTCATTTTTACACAGTGAAAAAAACAAAACAAAAAAAGATAGAAACTAATTGTCGTATGATTTAGTGCTTGTTTGGATTAACTCTTTTTTTTATAGGTATTTTTTTACTTTTAAACATTTTTTTTTATTATATAGGTGTTTGGAAAGGTTAAAACGTGTTTTTAAGCATTTACTTTTAGGTCAAAAAAGTTTTAAAATAAGTCAAAAATAGAGTATCATCTACTTATGACTTTTAACTTTTGATTTATATATTACTTTTTATAAGTCCATCCAAACAGGCCTTACTTCGTTTATTAAGTTTGCTGAACTTCTACATTTTTCAATTGTTAATAGGAAAAATTGTATGAAATAGCAAACTATTAATTCAAATGAAATGTGATAGCCATAGTTTATTTTAATTGTAATTCACAGCAAACATCCCCTTTTTTTGCCATCTGATTCGGTATACAATTAGTCATTTTATACATTTCGGTATAAAATACGTTTGTGTTTGTATAAAGCGAGAGAAAGTTGTATATACAAATACAAATAAACACTTATAATTATACAAATACAGAT